CCGGATATGACGTCACCCACTCCCGTGGTTCCGAGAACTAAGCGGTGGGACCGGAAATTAACCTGGGGGGGGTGTACAGGCTGACCGGAAGTGGGTGCCGCGGCGCCGCCAGCCCCAGCTCCTGGGAGGGAGCCGGTGGAGAAGAGCGCGAGGAAGGCGGGACACGGGGCGGGGCCGCTGCAGGGGCGGGGCCTGCGGGCTGGCGGGCGGGGGGCGGGGACCCCTCGTCCCTGCCGGACCCCGCCTGCCCCGGCGCCGGCGGCGGCACGGCCATGAAGCTGAAGCTGAAGAACGTGTTTCTCGCCTACTTCCTGGTGTCGATCGCCGGCCTCCTCTACGCGCTGGTGCAGCTCGGTGAGCGGGGCGGGGCGGGGGTGCGGCGGGCCGGCCCGAGGGCGCCCGCCGCCGTGCATCCCGCCCTGGGGATGAACCCCCGCGCAGACACCATTCATCCGCTCGGCCCTCCGGACAGCCCTCTGCGGCCGCCGCGCGCGCGCCCCTCTTTAGAACGCGCCGCGGCTCCCGCCGCACCTCGGATGAAATCCAGACTCCTTCCCAGAGCCTGCAAGGCCCCGCATGATCCTGCCGCCGTCTGCCTCTCCAACCCCATTTCCTTCCCCATTCCCTCTCTCTCTCTCTCTCTGCTCCGGCCACACTTGCTTCATGACAGTTTCTCGAAAATCCTACGCTCATTGCTCTCTCAAGCTCTTAACCCGTTCCTTCTGCTTGCGGTGCTTTTCTCCCAGCTGCCTCTTTCTCATCCTTCAGGTCTCAGCTCAAATGTCACCGCCTCAGAGAGGCCTTCCTTGACCACCTTAGCAAAAGTAACTCTTCATTTTCTGGATTCTCTTCTCTGTCCTCTTTGTTTCCTTCATGGCCCTTATCACAATTTGTAATGGTTTTATTAATTTGTTTCTTTGCTCGGTGTCTGCCTCCTTCACTCAACTGAACGCTCCATGAGGCCAGGGACCATGTCTGTTTTGTTCCCCGCAGCATCCCAGCACCTAAGGCAGTGCCTCCCAGGAGGAGCATTCAATAAATATTTATCCATTGATGGAATCAATGAATTTAATGAGTCTTTGGTCACACAGCCAAGGGAACAGATTGAACCCTACCTCTTATGCAGGGATTTAGAGACAGCCACTGCGTGATCCTCAGGTATTTGAAAGACTAATGTTTTAGGAGATCAACTTGTTCTCTATGGCTCCAGAAGGCGAAATCAGGACCAGCAGCTAGAAAGGATGGAGGCAGATAATCAGCTCAGTGTGCAAATGAAAATTGTAACAGATGGAATTTATTAAAGTTGGAGACTTTAATTGAGGCAGTGAGTACCCCACCGCCAGAGGTATAGAAAAGGCTGTTATCAAAGTTGTAAGGAGATTCCTGCATTGGTTAGGAGTTGAACGAGAAGGTATGGCCCTTTGGGATGCTGAACATGCTGTGGTTCTCTGCCTCCATCCCTGCTTCCTGGGACCAGGCCAGCCATGTGACTGCCTCCCTCCCCTGCGGGCCGCAGCAGAGCAGCTTCGGCAGAAGGATCTGAGGATTTCCCAGCTGCAAGCCGATCTCCGTCGCCCACCCCCTGCCCCTGCCCAGCCCCCTGAACCTGAAGCCCTGCCTACTATCTATGTTGTTACCCCCACCTATGCCAGGTATGGGCTTTGGTGTACTCAGGAGGCCTGCATGGACCAAGAAGTTGGGGTGGATGATAAGGAGTTTGGGGAGGTACTAGGCCAGGAGATGTTCCTCAAACTAGGGCATGCCAAACAACAGGATAAAAGCAATACATCTTTACTCAAAGACTTGGGGGGAAATGGTGGTGGTTCTATTAAAATGGACGGGGGTGTACCATGAAGTAGAATACAAAATTCCTGCAAAATTTTAAGATAGAACAATAAAGTTGCAAAGAAATTCTGAGCTTGCCAATGAGTTCACTCTCTCTCCTTAGGAATCCTGTGGTGAGAAAGTTTCAGAACCCCTGACTAAATTGAAGTAGAAAAGGGCTTGACCCTACAGTCATACCAGGGTCTAGAAATAGTTAAACCAGCTATTGTTTACAGTGTGTTTACTCTCTGCTACGCACTGTGCTAAGTGCTTTCCTTTTTTTTTTTGATTAAAATGTAGCTTTATTACTGATACAGACCAACTGGGGAATATAGTTTTGGATCTGTAGCCAAAGGGCCTGCTAACATCTCCCTGGAATCAAATGCTGACCCATCTAGGCACAGGCAGCTCTAGACCCTCTTCCCCTGCGCACACACACCATCAACCCTGGGGCAGGCAGGCCCATCTGAAGGATGTAGAAGCTTTAAAGATACTGGGCTACACCTTCCCAGTTTCTTGTCTAAACTCAGATAAATCTTCCCCTAGAGAGGAATGAGCCAAGGGGCTCCTATAATTCTTCTACCTGGAAACCCAAAAACAGGAGGAACACCTACTGGTGTTCTAGAAAGGTCTAGGTCTAAAACACCTACTGGTGTTTTAGAAAGTCATTATCTTATTTAATCTTTAAAACAAAATTGTAAAGTACTGTTATTCCCATTTTATAGTCAAGGAAACTGAGACTTGGGGCGATTGAGCCATTTTCCCCAGATGTCTCACCTAATAAGTTACAAAGCTGGCATTCAAACCCAGATCTGACTCCAAAGCCCGTGCCCTTAACGTATAGTCTCCCACAGTCAGAGCCCTGGGGTTGAGGTGAGTGACAGACATGGACTGGAAGAATGGCAGGTGAGTGTCAGGGTTGACAGGCAAGAAAGGGAATTTGGGGATTGGTTGGGGAAAGGTCATGGGGGATGCTAGAAGCGGCCCAGGAGAAGCTACGTATACTGGCTGGAGTGGGCAAATGGTGCCTGCCCCTCTCCCTCCTGCTGCCTCTCTCCCCCTGCAGGCTGGTGCAGAAGGCAGAGCTGGTGCGGCTGTCCCAGACACTGAGCTTGGTACCGCGACTGCATTGGCTACTGGTAGAGGACGCTGAGGGCCCCACCCCATTGGTCTCAGGGCTGCTGGCTGCCTCTGGCCTCCTCTTCACACACCTGGCTGTCCTCACCCCCAAGGCCCAGCGGCTCCGGGAGGGCGAGCCAGGCTGGGTTCGGCCCCGTGGTGTCGAGCAGCGGAACAGGGCCCTGGATTGGCTCCGAGGTGGAGGGAGAGCCGTGGGGGGAGAAAAGGATCCACCCCCACCAGGGACCCGGGGAGTCGTGTACTTTGCTGACGATGACAACACCTACAGCCGGGAACTCTTTGAGGAGGTGAGCACCAGGATGAGGATGGGGAAAGAGGCCAAGTGGGGCCAGCTTCATCTGTTGCCTTGGTTACCAGTGTTGCTCCAGGCTACTGGGTGAGGAGGGGGGGAACAGTGGGGCAGAGCGACCCAAGTGGTCCTTCCTGCTGCTCCCTATCCCCTGGGTCACCCTCTGTTTGTTTCTCCTCTCCTGACCTCTGTTAGATGCGCTGGACCCGTGGTGTCTCAGTGTGGCCAGTTGGGCTAGTGGGCGGCCTGCGATTTGAGGGCCCTCGGGTACAGGATGGCCGGGTCGTGGGCTTCCATACGGCATGGGAACCCAACAGGCCCTTCCCATTGGATATGGCGGGATTTGCTGTTGCCCTGCCCTTGCTGTTGGCTAAGCCCCATGCCCAGTTTGATGCTTCTGCTCCCCGGGGCCACCTGGAGAGCAGTCTCCTGAGCCACCTGGTGGATCCCAAGGACCTAGAGCCACGGGCTGCCAACTGCACTCGGGTAAGGGGCTGGAGGTGGGCATAGAAACCTGGCTCTGGGATGGATGGGTGATGGGGGGAGTGGGAGTGAGGCCCTGGGGAGGATCAAAGGATGGGCGTTTGAACCCAGGAGAGACCCTCCAGAGCCCAGCTTGACCCTTGCTTACTCTACTGAAGGGGAAGCTGGGAGCCAGGAAGGAAAGTGGTCTCCTGCCACTCTGTCTCCCAGAGTCCTGGGCACCCAGGAGGGGAAAGGGGTAAGGCCCCATTTTAGGGGTACTAAAGCCTCCACCCACCCTGCCCTTCATACTTTGCCACCAACACTCAGTGTGTAGAGTGGCGGGGAGAATCTGTTCTACACTGAGGGCCCCAGAGGCCTGGCTCTAACTGAAACCCTCCCGGGACAGGTTCTGGTGTGGCATACGCGGACAGAGAAGCCCAAGATGAAGCAGGAGGAGCAGCTACAGCGGCAGGGCCGAGGCTCAGACCCAGCCGTTGAGGTGTGATGGCGGCCCCACCCCGCCCCCCACCTCATCAGGCACAGACCTGGGGGACTGGGCCTCTGGCCTGCCCAGGATGTGGTTTTCCAAGTCCTGACCCCTCAGAGCCAGGGGCGGCCCCTCTGCCCCTTCAGCCCCAGGGCGTGGCCCAGCTGCTTCTCCCCTCCCCCAGCCTGCCATGTGGCACTGCCCACAGGCTGGGGACAAGCAGCCCTTGTATTGAGCCAGATTGGCCCTGTCTGGGGCGGAGCAGGACAGACAGACTCAGGAGGGAGGGCAGCTGAGTAACTGGGTAACTTATTGAGGCTGGGCATGCACTGGGGGGCTGGAGGAGCTGGGCTGGACCCTCCCCACCTGAGCATGCTGACCCCCCTCCTACCTCCAGAATAAAAAATCTCAACCTGGAGGGGGTCTCTGTTTTCCTTCACTTCCCACGTCTGGTTCTTTTTTTTTTTTTTTTTTTTAATTTTATTTATTTATTTTTCCCCCAAAGCCCCAGTAGATAGTTGTATGTCATAGCTGCACATCCTTCTAGTTGCTGTATGTGGGACACGGCCTCAGCATGGCCGGAGAAGCGGTGCGTCGGTGCGCGCCCGGGATCCGAACCCGGGCCGCCAGCAGCTGAGCGCGCGCACTTAACCTCTAAGCCACGGGGCCGGCCCACCACGTCTGGTTCTTGCATTCTGATCCTTACCAGGGTCCAAACCTTGGAGTCCTGGCTTCTCTATCAGTCAGAAATCAGTTCTCTCAGGGCCCTCCACCCCCCTGAAGAGAAAGATCGTGGCTTCAGTCCAAAAGCTTTATTGAGTCTGCGCACCAGAAGCAATCGCCAGTCCTTCCCATGTCACTTTGCCATCGCCCTGTTTTTCTCTGTTCCCTGGTGCTTTGGCCACAGGGTCTGGGCTCTAGGATGCCAGGTTTTCTCTCCTACCCCAGTCCAGCCCACTGACCAGCTTTAACCCCTCTAATCCCAGGGAACCCCCCTCCCCCGGAGCCTTGGTAAGGAGTTGTGTGGTTCTGTCCATCCCACCCCTTCCCCCCCTCCCAATCCCCACCCCGAGCTCCAGGCCACTAGGCCTCAGGTAGACCCTCCTTAGGAGGTGCCTCTACTGGTGGGGCCTCCTCAGGTGCTGGCCTGTGGGCAACCCCTCCCTGTAGCCATGCTGTTTTCAGCATGTCTTTCAGCCCACCAGGAAAGAGATAGCCCTGTGTCTCTCCCTCCCTGTCGATGACTCCTCCAAGCCCCTCCAGTGCTGTTTGCAGGTACCGCAGGCCCAGGAGCACCAGAGTCTGTGGGGAAAGCAAGGGAAAGAGGTCAATGAGGGTCAGCTGTTCCAGGGGTCCCAGGATTGGAGGCAATGAGGAGGCCCAGATGGAGGGAGGCCTGACTCACCTGCAGCAGGAAGGTGACAGCCAGCAGGCTGCCCAGTGTGCTCGCCAACCCCTGCAGGTGCCCCAGCAGTACCCCATGGCATCCTTGGGCCCAGAGGTTTAGGTTGGGCTGTCGAGGATCAAAGAGGGGGTGGGCATGTGGGTCTGAGAGCTGGCTTTGCAGGCAAGGCCTGGGTGAGTGGGGGTTGCAGCAAGAGAAGGGGACCCCGTCAATCAGATATAGGCCTTCCACATTGCTCTGGATCCGGCTGCAAAGGGAGGGGCAGGGGTGTTAGGATATCTGGAGGTACAGGCCTGTGGGAGAAGCTGCAGGCCACAGGAGTTGAGAAGGGAAAAAAGAGTAAGATGTTTACCAACTGCTTTACTGGGTGCCAGGCATGCATAATTCATTTATCTTCACAACAACTCTCTAGATAAAGTACTGTTATCATCTCCATTTTACAGATGAGGAAATGGACCCAGAGCAGTTTGGTAACATGCCCTGGGTCATACAACTAATAAATGACAGAGCTGTAACACATTCTCTCAACCACTATGCTCTATTTATGGCCTGTCTGGGTGAAGCAGGGTTTCAAGGGAGGAGGAGGAGGAGGAGGAGGGGAGAAGCAAATCACTCACTCAACCACGTCCTGGTCATTGGGATCCAGGTAACGGCTGCTGACCCACTGGACCCCAAACCAATCCTTGTACCCATGGCGTCCGCAGCAGTGGTGCCTCAGCTGCAGCTCATCCAACAGCCGTTTGGCATGACAGTGTCCAGGCACCTCTGTGTCCTTGTAGTGAGCCAAGGCAGTCCCCAGGCCCTCCTCCAGTCCCACATCCAGACTCCCAGGTAAAGCCAGGGCTAGCCCCAGGGCAAGGACCAGGAGCCCCCCGCCCCCAGCAGTGCTAGCCACCAGTAGGGGGCCCAGGACCCCTCGCCAGGGAGGGTACTGAGCTGCATCCAGACTGGCCCTGCTGGCTCCCGCGCCCACCAGTCCTGTGCACAGAGCCACTGCACTGGCTGCCAGAGCAACCTGGGGCAGGGCAGCGAATGGGCAAGAGGGAGCCAAGAAGGTGCCAACGTGCCACAGCTGGACCAGGAGGTGCCCGCTACAGAGGAGGGTGAGGCCACTGCCCAGCGCCAGCAGCCAAGAGAGGAGCCACAGCCCCTGTGCCAGACGAATGCGCGGCTGGAGGGGCAGCACCAGGGGCAGCACCGGCGCCATCTCCCATCTCTGCCCAAGGGAGAGCAGAGCTGTCAGGGCTGGGGATTGGCCGGGGCAGGGTGCTGAGTCAGCCCAGCTCGCCTTGAGCTGGGCTAATGCCACCATGACCCCAATACCCTGGGCAGCCTCCCACCCCCAGCCTTAATAACTCGCCGCCTTGTCCCCTGCCAGCCCCAATTCGGGATGCCTTGGCCTTGCCCCTTAGGAAAAGCCCCTCCCCCGGGCAGAAGGCCTATATCATGACCCCGCCCCTGCCCCTCGCGGAAGTGGGGAGGGGTTGGTCGGCTCTGTCCGAGGGGCTAGGGGCTGGGGGGCGGAGACCTAAGGACCCGCGCTCCCTCCCAGGTCCCTAGGGAGTCCGGGGGTGGGGATCTCGGAAGGGCCTGGAGGGCGGAGGCCTGGAGGGGGCCAAGGGGTCAGCGGGTTGGCCCCGCCCCCGTGCTGTGCCGCGAGGCCCGGACAGGGAGGGGTTACCAGGCGGCCCGGCCCCCCCCTTGGCCCGCCCCCCCTCCCGCGCTTCCTGGCGGCTCCGCGTCCGGCGCCTGTTTGTGCTGCGGCGCTGGGGCCCGGGACGGCCCCGCCACCCCATCCCCGGGAGCCGAAAGCGGCCCCGGGAGAGTCTGAGGCCCCGGCGGGCCCCGGAGCCGGCGGCCCCCGCCCCACAGCGCCCCCTCCAGGCCCTTTCCCAGCGCCCGACAGCGCCCCCGGGGGGTGGCACGGCGCCCTTGCGCGCGCGCCCCGGGGTGCTTCCCCTTCCCCTCTCCCTGGCCATGGCCCCCGCGGCTTAGACGCCTCCTCCGCCGCCGCCGCTCGGAGCAAGCCGGGGGGCCGGATGGACGGGGCCGGGGGGCCCGGTGAGTACGGGGCGGGGCGGGCGGCGTGCCCCTACCCGGAGCGCCTGGCCAGTCGGGCGCCGCCAGTGCCCGACGGCTGTCTGCTGGCGTCCCCGCGTGCTCCTCGGCCCCAGGGGCTCTGAGCATCCTCCACGGTTCCTCAGGTCGCTTTCCCTACTTACTTGGATCCTCCTGTCACTTCGGACTTCCCCAACGTCATCCTACCCCCCCATGTTACTCTGGGCTCCTCGATGTTCCTCTGCCCCCTATGTTCTTCTGGGCCTCTTCTCCTGTTATTTCGGGTCTTTTCACTTCTTACCCCCACTGTCACCCTGGGCCCTTCACTATGACTCTGTCTCCACTGATACCTGTCATTCTAGTTCTCTCCTGGTCCTCTGAGTCCTCAGGATGACTGTACTCTTGCGTCCCCCGTTCGCTCCCGTGCCCCCTTCTCAGTTTCTCTGCCTTCCCTGGAGACCAGAGCTTGTCCTGGGTTGGGCCTGTCATCCCTCACCAGGACTGCGCCTCCTTCTGTGGTTCCCACGTTCCTCGGCAGTACTCCATATTTCCCCCAGTACACCATGGTACTCCCTGTCTTTGCGGAGGCTGGCACAGCAGCAGGAAGGGAGCTCTGCCAGGTCCCTTGCCTGCCTTGCCAGAAGGAGGCCCTTGATCCTCCACCACCCGTCTCCTCCCCTCTGGGCGAGCCCCAAGCCTGGGGCTGCTTGAAAGGGGCAGTCCTATTGGACAGATGCAAAGTTGAGGGGAGACAGAATCCCTCAACCCTTTCCCTAGGTGGTGGGTACATTCTGAGTGCTTCTTGCCCCTCTCCCAGGTGAGGGCCCTGCGCAGGAGGCCCTGCAGTCTTTGAGCCAGCGGCTTCAGGTGCAGGAGAAGGAGATGGAGCTGGTAAAGGCAGCCCTGGCGGAAGCCCTTCGCCTGCTGCGGCTGCAGGCACCCCCTACCTCCCTGCGGGACTCTGGCATACCAGCTCCTACAAGGAACAGGTATGCATATTGCCACACCTTGTTCCTCCTCCTTCCTGGGGCCTCTATGGGCATCAGGTTGATTCATTGTCTCCCCAGCAGCCCTGCAGCCCCCCCAGGACTGCCTCCCACATGCAGCCCCTCCTTGGTGAGCCGAGGCACCCAGACGGAGGCAGAGGTGGAGATGGAGCCATCCCCTGGACCCCCTGGCCTGAGCAATGGGCCCCCAGCCCCTCAGGGGGGCAGTGAAGAGCCTAGTGGGACGCAGTCTGAAGGAGGGGGCAGCAGCAGCAGCGGCACTGGCTCCCCTGGCCCCCCGGGGATCCTCAGGCTTATGCAGCCCCCACAGCGTGCTGACACGTAAGTGTCCTGTGGCAGAGGCTGGGAAGGGTGGGAGGATTGGGGAGCATGATTAGAGGGACTGACCTTCACCTGCTCATGTGCTCCTACCAGGCCACGGAGAAATTCTTCCTCCTCCTCATCCCCCTCAGAGAGGCCTCGACAGAAACTGTCCCGGAAGGCAGCTTCCTCGGCCAACCTGTTATTGCGGTCAGGGAGCACAGAGAGGTGGGCGAGGCTCCCCCCAACCCGCCTGCCCCAGGCTCAGGCTCTTGACTTTCCACATCCCTCACCTCACTTCCCTGGGTGGGGTGGGGGGACCTCATTGCCTAACAGGAAGAAAGGAACAAGCACTCCTGGGGCGCCTGCTGTGTACCCGGCACTGTGCCAAACCCTCGACCTCCTCCATCTCATTCAGTCCCCACGACATCCTTGGGGGGTAGGTGGTCTCATGCTGTTCATTGTCCAGGTGAGGAAGCAGGCTCAGAGAGGGTAAGTCATTTGCCTGGGGTCACACAGCTAGAGTCAGGATTCGAACCCAACTCTTCCAGACTCCAGTTCCCCTGCCCTTTCCACTGTATCACAGCATACCTTCCAAGATTCCAAGAGGCTTTTCCAAAAACTCCCATGATTTGCATGGAATACTGTTCTCAGAGTTTCAGCCCACCTTCGCCACTCCAATCTACCAGGCTTTAATTCTAGAGAGCAAGGAGAAATCCTGGTGGCTGAGCACAGTTGTCTCCGAGTCTGTACAGGCCCTAGGACACTCATTCTAGCCCTATCCTTGGTCTCTCTTTTATTCTCTGAAGAGATGTCACCTTGTTATCATCTATGACAGTGATCTCTGGAATTCACCTGTCACTTTCCTCTTGAGAGATGAGGACTTTCTGGCTTACCTCCCAGATCCCTGAAAGGCAGGACTGGTGTACATTCTGGATTCCCTTTGGTCCCACTTGACAGATGGGGAAATGAAAAGGTCAATAGCCAGAGGCCTGATGGTCTGGAGGATGGGGCTCCTCCCTGTCACCCTGCACTGCCTCTTATGAACTTTATGGCCTTGTGCCGTGTGCTCAGCCCCTTTAGCCTCAATCTTCTCATCTCATAAATGGGGCTAAAAGTCCCCATCTATTCTATGGCTCTGAACACTCAGAACGCAAACTAAAGCCTGCAGAGGTGACTGTAGTCTCTGGAGTAATCTCCTTTCTTGTGTCCTGTCCCTCCCCACTTAGGTCTTGGGACCTGACTCCAATCTCTGTGCTTTTCTCTCTTCCCAACAGCCGTGGGGGGAAAGACCCCCTCTGCAGCCCCGGGGGTCCAGGATCTCGGAGGAGCAATTACAATTTGGGTATGTACAGAGGGATCTGGAAGAACTTGGATGACGGAGTTAGGGTTTGGTTTATAGCCCTAGGAGCTATTTTGGGAGACCTGTGAGGTGTGGTGGGTGGAGTTCTGCTCTGGCTTTCCTGGAAGGGAGGTTGCAGGGTGCTGGTTGACACCCCCCACCTCCCTTTTTCTCTGTAGAAGGTATCTCAGTGAAGATGTTCCTTCGCGGCCGCCCCATTACCATGTACATCCCGTCTGGCATCCGCAGCCTCGAGGAGCTGCCCAGTGGCCCACCCCCGGAGACCCTCAGCCTTGACTGGGTGTATCCTGCCCCCTCCAGTACCATGGCAACCACTTTCCCCATCTTGGGACCACCCCCCAACTTCATTATGATTTCTTCCTGGGTCTTTGGGGACAGGGAGCCCTCTGAATCCTCCTGTACCATCCTCTGCCTGTGGCGCTGCCAGCCAGAAGCTCTGTCCTTCTCCCCTCTTCCTCGTCCTACCCTTGATCTGACTGTTTCCTTGACCGTGACCTCCGCTCCAGTTATGGGTACCGGGGTCGTGACTCCCGCTCTAATCTGTTTGTGCTGCGTTCTGGGGAAGTGGTTTACTTTATTGCCTGTGTAGTGGTGCTGTACCGGCCTGGGGGAGGCCCAGGGGGTCCTGGAGGTGGCGGCCAGAGACATTACCGGGGGCACACGGACTGCGTTCGATGGTGAGGGTCCCGGGGCCTGGAAGTGGGCATGGGGGTGGTGGGCTTGGCAGGAAGAGAGGCTGAGTGGGTGTGGAGGAGCAGGAGAGAAGCGTTGCTTTGCTGCTCTGCGAGCACAGAGAAGGTGTCCTGGGTGGTCTTGAGAGACCGACCCCCTTCCCTAGAATGTCTCCTCCCCCACTTAGCCTGGCTGTTCACCCTGATGGTGTCCGTGTAGCCTCAGGACAGACAGCTGGAGTGGATAAGGATGGAAAGGTAAGGTCAAAGAGACACCAGGCAGACAGGATGAGATTCCAGCCAGCTTTCCTTCACACCCCTGACCCCTTCTCCTCCACCAGCCTCTGCAGCCTGTGGTTCACGTCTGGGACTCAGAGACACTGCTGAAGCTGCAAGAGATTGGACTGGGGGCCTTCGAGCGGGGTGTGGGGGCCCTGGCCTTTTCAGTTGCGGTGAGCTGGCCCCAAAGCCTCTAGACCCCCATCTTCCTTGCCCAGGAACCCCCTTCTTGCACGTCACCAGGAAGCCTCAGAAGTTCTGGCCTTCCTGAACCCCGCCCAGCTGGTTCTCCTGAGAAAGGGACATCTGTCCACTTCTCCTGCCCTCTCAACCTGTGATGGCACCCTCTGCCTAATGACCATGAACCCCAGACCTCTGGGCCTCACTCAGCCCTTTTGATGTGTGTCCTCTATTCTCAGGATCAGGGTGCTTTTCTGTGTGTGGTGGATGATTCCAATGAGCACATGCTGTCAGTGTGGGACTGCAGCCGGGGCACAAAGCTGGCTGAGATCAAGGTGAGGAGGCCAGGTGGCCTGGAGGGACACTGAGGTTGGGGAGGTGGGGGTGGTGGAGTGCAGAGAGCTCCACACTTACCCATACATTTACCTCCTTTTGGCTGGGTCACCCAGGGCAAGCCGGCTAGCTCTCTGAGGCTGTGAAATGGGGACTGCAGAAGTTCTGACCTCATGAGGGATGACGTGTTAGACATTAACATAGGGTGGTTAATCACCATGACCTGGAGTAGTGCTCTTAGGGGAACAGGGTCTGGAAGGACGGGTCCTCCTGGGGTTTCTGGACTTCTGCAGACCAGCTGTTAGAATGCAAATTGAAGAGAGTCAAGTAGAATGAGGGTGCTCAGGGCTTGCGGTGGCTGAATCTAGTATCTTCCCTTCAGAGTACAAATGACTCAGTCCTGGCCGTTGGCTTCAGCCCTCGTGACAGCAGCTGCATTGTCACCAGCGGGAAATCCCACGTCCACTTCTGGAACTGGAGTGGTGGAGCAGGGGTTCCTGGGAATGGGACCCTCACTCGGAAACAGGGTGTCTTTGGGGTGAGGCGTGGATGGGTGCAGGGTGGTG